TATATATATATATATATATATATATATATATATATATATTTATTATTATTATTATTATTATTATTATTATTATTATTATTATTATTATTGTTTCAGGTTTTTATGTGGGAAGCAAAAGATGAATCTGGTATTGCTACAGTGAAAGAACTTGATCAACGTTATGTCTTGTGTTCTAAAGATGCAATAGATTCTTATCTTGTAGAAGTTGTAAGAACATTTCGTAGAACAAATGAAACTGGGTCCATTATGATATTTACGGATACTTGCAAGTAAGAGATATATTTGTAAATTTTTTAAAAAGCTTTCTTTAAACGTGTTATTTTTACAGGAATTGCCAGTTGTTATCTATGACATTAAATGATGTAGGATTTCCAAACGTTGCACTTCATGCAATGATAAAACAAAAAGAACGCTTAGCAGCTCTTAATAAATTTAAGTCAAATCATATTAAAATTTTAATAGCAACCAATGTTGCAGCAAGAGGCTTAGATATATCTGCAGTAGAATTGGTAATTAATCATACAATACCAAATGTACCAAAGGAATATATTCATAGAGTTGGTAGAACAGCGAGAGCAGGTAAAGGTGGTATGGCAATTAGTCTGATAACACCATATGATATTAAATTATTACATGCGATAGAAGATGTTATTGGAACGAAATTAATTGAATATAAGATAGATGGTAAGATACTTTTTCCAACATTACATTCTATTTGTAGGGTTCAATCTTGTTATATTTATAATAAATATTATATTTCTTTTTTTTTTATAGATAAAGAGGTTGTTACAATTTTAACTCAGGTATCTGTAGCAAAAAGAGAAGCAGAAATAAAATTAGATGAAGCCGATTTTTATGAGAAGAAAATAATTAATAAAAGAAAACAATTAATCTTGGAAGGGAAAGATCCAGATGAAGTCGATTTACTTTTAAAGGAACATAAGAAACGACGAAAATTAGAGAAAAGAAAAAAAGAAATATCAGATAAAAATACCCATAGATAATGCAGATTGAATTGTTTATTTTTAGTATTTTAAACAATGATTTGTATTATAAAAAAGGCACTTCATTCGTAATTACGAATTTAATAATATTTATATTTTTATATTTTAATAATTGTTATAAAAATATATTACAAAGATGTGAATTTAAAATGTAAATTTTTTCAGCCTCGAATAAGTATTATATATATATTTTTTAAAATCATTATTAATTTTAAAAATATATTCTTTCACCTTAAATAATCAAGATCTTTTATTCCCTTTTATTCCCTATATATAATACACAATCTCATTAATGAAATTATTTATATAAAATTAAAACTTTCAATCATACCGATTTGCTTAATTAGGTTTTTAATATGTTAATGCAAAATTGATATCAGTTAATTACGTATATAGATACTGAATTATGATAAATGGTGCATTTATATTACATAGAAATAGAGATGAATATAAATATCTTGAAAATATTTATATTCAATTTTTCATTTCAGCTTAGCCTTGAGCTGTAATTTTATCTTTATTTTTGATTAAGTTTAACATTCCTAAGAATGCATTAAGTTCCTCAACATATTCTTTCGGATATTTTCGATAATGTCCAACGTGGGGTGATCCATCAAATATTTTAACATAAGTCTACAATCAATAGATTGAGATTAATTGGGAGTATTCATATTTGTCCAAAACTACCCATAACAATTTTTCTCTTTACCTTTGTACCTGAGGAATCCCAGGAATCTCGAACTCTCATGTTACTACTTACTAAACCCACAGGATCCTTATTACTTACGAAGAAAAGTGCTGGACTCCGTATCAAATTTGTATGAAACATCTGACTAGAACGAAGGTAATACTGTGTAGATTGTTTGTAAAACGCTTTCATGTGATAACTAAAAATATAAAAAAATTAATTAGTCTGAAATTAAATATATTTATACTCTAAATGTTTTTTTTAAACTTACATTAAATACTTTCGTATTATAGATTGTAACAAAGGATTATTAGGAAAAATGGCACGTGGTGTACCTACAACAAATTCGCTAATATCTGCAGCACTGTCCCATACATGACCAATAATTCTATCAACAACATTGTTATATTTTTCGCGATCGGCATGTATAAAAGTTAAAACTTCGCCCCAGATGTAGCCAGCTACAGAAAACCCATGTAAGATAATTTGTTGATAATCTTGATTCTCTAGTAAAAATGTCAACAAATCTACTGCAATTAACTACAAGTAAAATTCATTCAAAGGAATTAATTTATTATATTTTAGGTAACATATTAATAAATAATATAAAATTCATTCAAACTCACCCTGGAACCTTTTTCAGGCCACATAAGTTGCCATGGAGTGATTGTTACTAATGTAACATCAAATCCTTGTTGTAAATACAGATCAGCAAATTTCATAATATGTTTTTCTTTAGCTAGAAGCCAACAAAGCAAAACTAACAAAGGCCGTTTTTCCGAGGAATTAGAATTCTGTACTGAATATTTTAATATTTTAACGTCATTATCTTGAGAAATGAATTTAATATTTTTGGTGACTTCACAAGTTGATAACAGTCTGGGATATATTAGCATAACAGCCTAATAAAAGAAAATTTGGTAGAACAATTAATTCTAATAATTACTTATATGATATTTATGATTTCATTAAGTGTCAAAAAAGTTACCTTATTTTGTGTAGTGATTAACTGTTTAGGCAGTAAACGATGATTAAATTGTTTCCATAAAAAGGAAGACATTAATATTCTTCCGGGTACCATTATGGCAAGAAGAGTTTATTTCAGTGGCTATAATATCAATACTTTTAATCGAATAAATGGTAATCATAACTGCACGAATCTAAAACTACTTCTGTTGGATTAATGTGTTAGGTAAATCACATGTTTATTTATCGCCGTAATCTTGTATCTTTTGTTAATCATGTAGATACCCTAGATATCGAAAGATAGCGAAGATCAAATTTCGATTTAAATTCGATTATTAATTTTTCAGATTGAAATGAATCGAATTAAGATGTGAATACATATTTGAAGAGAGAGGTTGAATTTAGTTGTAAACAGTTAATGACACGTTGACAGTTATTGCCAAGTAGTGACGAGTCGATTGAAATTTAAATCAATCTACGTGTACCTGTTTGCTTTGTAATCCTTTTGTCTGTATAAAAGAATGTAATTTGGATTTAGGCTACGATCTGTTTAAACGTTAAATGATAATAATCTAAATAAATCTGACAATAAACCAAAACAAAACAATGAATTAATGCACGTAAACGTTTAGTTGTATGAAACCAGATGAGAAAAAGTAATCAATATGAAATGTCAAATTGTAGAAAATTTACAAAAGTAAAAATAGTGTACAAATACTACGTAATTAAAAATTAAACTTACAAGATGCAACTCTGTCGAAGACAAAGCATTAATGCAGACTGGCTTCAACTAGACTTGAATACATACTTAAAATGATAGTGGTTGTACCGATGCTACTACAGTTGCGTGTCAATATGTATATTCACTGAATTCAATATAATTAACTACACGATATTGAAGCTACTAAAAATAAGATCGCGCATGCTCTTATGTCAACGACACTATCATTTTCATGAGGTTGATATATTAACATAAAAAAAAGATTACTATTTGTTATCAAAGATCGACGATTAAATGAATAATAAACATATTGAACAGGTTCAATCGCATGATCTTTGCAAACATTATTACATTTCTATCTTCCTTTCATAAATGAGCACGCAATTAAGGATGCAAACACTATTTAATTAATTAAATGAATGAAATAAAATTGAGAACATAACCTTGTTCGAATTATTCTATTAATTTAAATATTCAAAAAACGTAGCATTCTGGACGAAATCCAGGACGAAATCTGCAACATCAATTTGTTACGAATTAACTTGATCACTTTTCGTTTGTTTTTCATATTCGATGACCTTCATTGACATACGAATGATGAATTAATCGGCACGCATTAGTAACGTGAGAAGCACTTAAGACGATAAAACTTTCATTGTCCGATAATAAATTTCATTTTGTCTGACCTTTGTTTCATCTACAAAATTGGTTGGAATATTCTTATCATCGTGGAAAGTTAGCAAATATAATTTTATCATTTGGCATCATTAAAACGTTGATAAATGAAACGATATAGTATGTTTGAGTGAAAACTTTTTCAAACTTTTTAACACTACAAAATATCCTATTTCAAACTGTAGTTTGTATAGTCTTTTTCGTATGGAACGCGGTCTTCTCAAGACCGCATAATGCAAACTAGACTGTAATTCATTATTTCTTTTTGGTTCTTTATTTCTATTTCAGAAATACGATGCTTATATTATACACTGAGATATATTATCTGACGTGTCATTTTCTTTAATAGTACGAAGTAATCAAGAAAAAACAATATATGTATATGTATACACACGCGACACACGCACCCACATGTAACGATTGGTGATAGGCGTTCGTTCATTGTTTTATTACAGCTCTTATACATATATATATATATATATATATATATATATATATATATATATCGATTATAATTTAAATATTTGTATAATTGTAGATACGCAAATTACACCGTGGACACAACATCAAGATTAACTTTATAGATTATTATATGCTAATGATAGAAATATTTCGTACTGACTTATGTCTCGTGCGAATGATTTAAATTTATGTGTCCCATCCACACACACACACACACACACACACATTTGCAGTCCTGAAGAAACATTATAAATTATTAAAACTTAAATCAAAGTAACATTTACATTAACATTTAAATTCGTACACACAATGTTCCAAAATTCAATTGAAATATTATCTTTTTTTTTACGTACGAAATCGTTAATATATAAAATATTATTTAACAGATTGCACGAACTATTAACTATACGCAGTCGATTCAATTTTTCTTCATAACATCATGGAGCGTTGCTTCGTGATTTAATAAATTAATTGAAAAAAAAAGAATGTTACAAATAATTAAAAATTTCGTAAAATTACGATATCTTATTGTAATTTATCATAAAATTATAGATATATTATTTACAGTAATTATAGTTCTAGATACGTTTACGTTTTAGTTTTATTTATATTGGTGCCTTGTATATCGAGTATATATAGACGATTACATTTATTCAATGATATAGCATTCGAGGATAATTTTACATAGTATTATGAAAGATTTAATTTTGAGTCATTACATATGGTAATTAATATTATTGCAGTATTAAATGTTAGACTTTTTAATATGTTTTTTATCTATTAATTAATTGATGATAAAGTATTCTTTCACCTCTTTTGCCCTTTTTCTTATGCTGTTTCTAATAATATCCTTGAAATTGAATTCTTATAAAATGTTCATGATAAATATGGTATAATATAATTATAAATGTATATTATATAAGTTAAAGAACTATTACGTATTACGTAAGAAATAGTTGTCACTATTAACAATTCTATCATCTTTATCGCACAAATACACATGCATGCGTAATGAGGATAATATATATATATCATCGTTTGTAGTTACAAGATAATTCAAAATAAATGGCAATAATTTCCAAGTTTCTAACTCATGAACTACCAAAAAACTTCAATCACCTTTTATTTATTTATTTATAACGCAAGTAGAGAATTATATTTTACAACATAAGTTTAAAGTAAGCGTTTAAAAATTTCATACAAACGTTGTTTATTTTGAATATATAAAAAAACAAAAGAATAATTTAAATTTTTTGATAATTCATAAGGATAAAAGTTACAAACTTTTATTACCATTCATTTTAAATCATCCTGTATAATACAGTTTAGTATTTTCCTCCAATACTAATCAAAGTGATTGATTTTATAATGATATATTTGAACACAAGTAGTTCTCCTATGATTATAATTGTACTTAAGATTAACAATGTATATTTGTGATTATTTCTTATAAAAAAGAAATCAATTTATTAGTTATTCATGCTAATCGATCAAGATATTTCAATTAAGCTTCTTTATGCGATATAACTTATTCGATCATTCTGTGTATCATCAAGAATCACTTTATTATTTACATTATTTTTAATTTCCTATACATATTTTCTCTAATATATTATCATATTTTAAAGATTAAACTGATTCATATATAACAGATACATAGGTATATATATATATGTATTTGGTACATGAAGATCTATAAAAGAGATCAAAAATTTATACCAACAGATAATTACAGTACTACAAATTTTTGAAATAATTAGCAGTAGCATGAATAATTTTGTTATTACATATACATACATATATATATATATATATATATATATATATATATATAATATATTAGCAGAAAACATTATATGTGATACAGAATCATTACCTCGAAACTGTCACTTTTGTGTCATTTTGGATCGACTTAATAATATATTGTTAATAAAAATGGAAGAAAATAATTATTGTTCAGAATTGGAACAATATTAATCAAGTTACTAATGATATGTAAATATTAACAATTGTTACGTTGAATTAATTCTTTCAAATAATGATTTGGAATTAATGTTATTATTATTTTAATGTGCTGATAATATTAATATGTTACGTATACCCGTACTCATTTAAATATATATATATATATTTGTCGTCGTATTTCGTATTACGAAATTTCAAGATGCTCCATGTTTTTTTGAATGAAGCTCTATGTATATATATATATATATTTTTTTTTTTTCAATATTACTATTTCCTTTGAAATCTTTTTATACAATTAAAAACAAAGGAAATATTTAGTGATCTCATTTAGTTGAGACACTACGTATTTGCATTTGTTATAATTGCAGCCTTATTGCAAATGAAATAAAAAAGCATTAAAAGAAGAATAACAAAAAGTCTTTACAATAGTCACTTATAAGTGGCAGTATAAAAATTGCACAAAATGTATTTTATTACCTAGTCATTCCTGTACTTACTATGTTATTAATGGCAGTATATGTTTGAAGTATCAGCGTATTTATTTACATTATTCTGTCCCCTCTCTGGTATAAATAGTATATAAATTGTAAGCACATTTTACTAGTCTAGTGTATAATATTCGGATAATATATATACCTTGAACATTCTGATCATGCATATCTTAATTGCAGTATTATTTTTTATGCGATACCGAAAGTTCATTAAGAAATGATTTGTTAATTCTTACATTTGTCATGACTTATTAGTATCTTTTTACAGTATTATACCACGCTTGTTATATACACGTCTCCAATACTAATCTACCTTGAGCTGGTTCTCAGAAAGCTTCTACAAAACTTGCTGGAAAAAGGCCGGTACGTCCGGTACGTTCTTGTGTCCCTTTGTACCATCCATCATCCCGTTTTTTATGAACATAAATGATGTCACCTTCTCGTAGTTCTAATTCAAATTCGCTATTAGGTGGATACGGTACTATACAACGAAATCTATATATTCGGTCACTGTATAAAAATAATAATTGAGTAGCTCTAATTAATAGTCATGAATAAATAACAGAGTGAAATATAATAGAGCGTTGCAAATGAAATCAAAATTATTTATCTTACCGTTCACGCGAAGGTTGCTGTTTCACTTGTTTACCTATACCAGTATCCAAAGAATTACTTTTACGATGATGATTACCGGCAATTGGCATAGACATTACTACTCCACTTGTATCGTTCGATCTATTAAAAAGAATGTCATATAAAATATAGAACTATTAAACACGAGCTTGAAAATTCATACAAAATTAACACATTCACGAGCATTCTTATCTCTATGTGAACAAAAAATATACAGTTTATCAAAATGGATTATATGTGTCATGAGTGTGTTAATAAAAATACAACGAGAACAAATGAGTATTATATAACAAATAATCTAGAATTATTACAAATGAGAACAATAAAAAACTATAAATAATAATAATAAAAATAAACGTTTTAATTCATTTTAATACACATGTAACGATACTAGATTTATTGCTATCATGAAATACTACAAACAAAGAGAACAAAATATTTAGTGCATGTTATTTGTTTGAGTGCATTTATAAAACACTTACCTGACTAAATTACACAATTAACACATATAGTATTATAATAGTCGACACTATAAACTCATAATTGTATTTTAAGGTATAACTGCCAAAAGCATAGATAGCTTGTGCGACAGCTACATTGTACTTTAATACGATAAAAGTCGAATTTAAGTTTATATTTATAACTACTTTGCAACGACTAACCTCTCAAAAACTGAGACCTGTAAAGAGGGTCTCTCCTTGAATTTTAGTCTCTGTGAGGACGTGACGTGCCCTTGCACAGAGCCTGGGTACATGCGATGAAGGCTGTTCGAAGCATTTAATTCCTGCGTGGGTGCCACCTGTAGCAACTGACTTGGACAAGATCCCGATCTAATTTTTAATACAACCCCCCACCCCACAGATATATTAGATACATATCGATGCGTGCAAAATATCACTTATTCTTATTGTTTCTGGCTTTGAATTGTATTATTCAAATTGATTTCTTTATTAAATGTATATTAATGAAATATATATCACAGGAACATTAATATCTCTATTCAATGAAATAATCATACAAAATGTAATTCCATAGGTAGTGCTGAACTAATGTAAAATATGTTAATGAATTCTGCTAAAACAAAATATGCAAATACGAGCACACATACATAAAATATTTTATTTGATTCCAAAATGAGTACATTCACAATTGTACGTGCACAAAGATATTGTCAATAAAATTAAAAAGAATGCATAAAGAAACATGCAGACTAAATATATTAAAAATTTTTTTCTTGTGAATAATAATCAAAAAATTGAACCATGTAACATATACAAGCACAAAGCTTTAGGCTATAAAAAGTATACATAAAGCTTACCTAACATGCATTGTATTCACGGCATTACCATCCTCAAATACAGGATTATCCATTGAATAAGTAGCAGGCGGGGGTGATTTAGATTTTTTTATATTAGTTAGACGACGCATTAATGAAACACATTTATCTTTTTTCTCCTTTGGCTGAAATATGAACAAGAAAAAGTGAATATTAATACTATAATTAATAATTATTCAATATTAGAGAAAAATTACCTTTTCACCAGTTTTATTTGAAGTTGGAGCAGTACTTGAAGTAGGAGTAGAGACACTAGCTGTATGCAAAGTATTATTTGGACTTTTGCTTCTGTCGGGTACAGCAGAAATAGCAGCAACAGTAGCACTTATACCTGTACCGTTGTTATTGGTTATACTGCTAATAGCAGGTGTTGTTGATGTTGTCAAAGCAGGTTGCAACAATACTTGTTTACCGGGGGAAGCTATAATCGTAAAATATTTCTTATAAATTTCGAAATAAGGACAATGAATAAAAATACATACGTAAATTTGATGTCATCACTGCACTATGACTACGACCTAACGGCGTTATAACAGAGGTTTGTTCATTGTGTCTGGGAGGACTATTATCTTGTGTTATGCCTTGATTTTGATTGAGTCGTGAAGACGATACAGGTGGAACTGGATTAATAGCACGAGGTGGTAATGCAGGTGGTGGTAATGTTCTTATATTGTAAGGTTGAGGTGCAGGTCCTTTGTTTTTGGTATATGTAACAGTTAATCGTGATTCATTATTGCTCTGACCAATTGTCAATGGAGAGTTTTGATGTTGTGTAGTATTTGATGTTCCTCTGCATAAACCACGCTGGCACCTGCATAATATATATATATATATATATATAAATACAACTATAAACGTAAATAGTCTGAATATATGCCATCTGAAAAAGTACTTGCTTTGCTGGTGTGACATAATTTCCAGGAAAAACTCCACATTTTTGTGTACGATTGGATGTTCCTTTAAACCAACCATCTTGACAACGTTCTGTTACCATATAAATTCCCCCTTTCCTTAACTCAAGTTCATCTGCTTTTTGTGGTTTATATGGATATAAAGCTACATAAGCAGCTGGTAAATGAGTACCATTATTAGAATTACTGGATAAATTTTGGGATGGTTGAGCAAGAACTAAATCACTGCTACCACTTCGTCTATGTCGGAAACTTTGATCTACGCTATTACCTAATGCCTGTAGGAAAAGAACATTATCAGTGTTTAATACAAAAAAAAAAAAAAACTATTCAGGAGACTACTTCAATCAAAAATCTTACCTGTACAGATGAGGATTCATTGGCAGAACTATTGTTTCCACTGTTAAGGCCACTGTCTATAGCTGGACTAAGTATTTCAGCACTATGTCGATGATGGGAATGTGCATGATGACCAGTATTCATAGCAGTAAAACTATGACGCTTGACATTGTGTCTGTTTCCAACTGCTGAGGGAGAAGTAGCAGGACTGCTAGGACTGCTAGGAGCAGTACTAGAACTACTGGAAGTACTCGAACTATTAGGTGTGTTTGGAGTAGTTGTAGTAGAACTACCTCCAGAAGATACAGTTGAGCTAGAATCTGATACTGGCAATGCTGTGGTCTACAAATAAAACATGACAAATTTTAATATATGTTAATATATTAAAATAACAAACATGTTAATATATTTTGTTTTGTTTTCTATCATAAAATTTATCATGCACCTGTGTTATCTGTGAATGAGGTTGGCTCGTTGTTTGAATGTTACGTGAGTGATCGGTTGGTATCAAAGGAGTAGTTTCTTCGTTGGTAGGAGTAGGTGGTGCTATTCGTGAAGGACCTGGTTGTACACTATGCATAGACAATATTATTATAAATATATTCATGATATGTATACATATGTTATCAAGGATGGTACTTACTTTGTTGACAACTTCATTAAAGCTCTAGCAACGCTATTAAGTTCTACAAAGGCTAAAGGAAAAATGCCTATTCTATCTAAAAGTTTTCCTTCCGCCCAATTTTCATCTACCCTTCTAATAACGCTAATCACTTCTCCCTACAAAATAAATAGATATATTACAAAGCATTTTTGAAAGATATATCAATGAAATGCCTCTATTTTTAATACATGCCTTATTAAAAGTAAGACAACCATCTTCGTCGTCATTGGTCATTCTAAAATCATATAAAGCTTTACATTGTGGTACATGTGGTGTCAGTGGAGTCATCACCTGCAATATATAATCAATTGAAGCAGTATATGTAATGGATACACACAAGTAAAATAATATTTCATTTGATTTAAAACTTTTGAATACCTGCACATAGGATAGTGGAAAAACACCATGAATAGTACCACATTCTCCATAATACCAATTATTATCAATTTTTCTATGGAGGATAACAATATCACCCTTCTTAAAACTTAAATCGCTAAAAGAAAAGAAATAAATACATCAGTAAATAACTTGAAATGATAAAAGATATAATTATATCTTATTTTATCATAGATTTAGTAATACTTACCCAGGTACTTTGGACACATAATCATATATGGCTCGACTATATGTCTGATTGTGTAAATGTACCTGCTTAGCTGCTGCATTAGCATGACGTACTACTTCGTTAGTGTGCGTAACAGATGTGATATTTGCGGTTACAATAGGTGCTGGAGCAACTTGATGACCACCAAATAGCCGCTGCGGACCTGGATTATTTCGAATAACAGTTTTTATATTCTTAGGCGCAGCATTGCGCATTCCTTCCAGAATACGCATAAGCAATACATTTGGTGGCAAGTCGTCTACTTTAACATCGACCAGCACTCTACATTCAGGGCAGCGTAGTTCTCTGTGCGTACTAACAATTTCTTCTAAACATTTTTTACAGAAAGTGTGCTGACAAGGTAATACTTTGCTAGAAGTATCCAGCCTTTCTAAGCACACCGAACATTCCAATAAATCGTTTAACATACACTCATCCATTTTGTATTTGTATTTAATAAAACGTGCGTTTATTTGTAGCCTTTTAATTTCTTCAGCTTACATGTGCATCTGTTTTCACAATTAGTACACCCTCTATCTTAACCATGGTTCATTAAAACCATGGTTTGTCTTTCTTCTATTCATAAAAATGTGTTCATTTCCTTCATGTCATCTTATTCGGAATTGCTTTGCCACAGCACTGCACACTATTCCGTGCTGAAAAGTATGCGAATTTTATCAACCGGATGACGTGGTTGAATTATTCAAAACGCCATCGAAAATCTATTTAGATTTCTCCAATTGCTAATGAATTTGTATAACCAAGGAAATGGGAAGAAAATGATACTCTTCGAGTTTGTTTAAAGTACTGTCATCCAACTGCTGCTTTCATCACGAATATTGTCGCACACCGTTGCGCACAGTGCATCGATCAATCGCACTTGTCGATTACGAATCCGGTCCACAAATTTGATAATACCTACCATTAGGAAAATATAATTTTATGCGCGTCATTTACAAAACTAATGCTAATTTAACAATGATTGATAATAAATCATAATTCGACATCTTTGGTTGCTTTTTTTTTGTTTAAAATGACCACTTACAAATGCGCGGAGATGTATCTGGGTGCAGCATTGAATTGCTTGTCTTTGAACGCACGTTATTCAGAAATGCCTGTGCTTCTGTTTATCATTACTCAACACAACTTGTTAATTGGACAACTTTCAACAACTACATGATTAACATCTTATCGAAATCTCTGATATGGTAACTTTTTTATAAAATATCTGTTATTTTAAATATAATTAAATAATTGTTCAAATAACTTTTTGACAGATATATTTAAAAATGAATATTACCGATAGATATTAGAGTTTACATGAAATAGTAGTATTCTTGAAACTAGTCACTGTCAACGGTGTCATTTGAAATATACCAATCGGTAAACGTATTATATAAAGCCGGTATTTGATTGGTACTCTCTTTAATTGACTTTCGTAAAAAATCTCGAGTATTCGTGTCCCTGCATGTGTTAAGTTACTGATAGCAGTGCAAAAAAGGAATAGAGAGAGAGAGAGAGAGAGAGAGAGAAAGAGAAAGAGGAAGAGAGAAAAAGATACTAGATTTTGGACGGATATGACGCAAGAGGGCAAATAGTTCGATTGGTAGTTGACTCGAACGTGAAATCTAGCGCATTTAATACGCGACTCATTGATTTACTGATTATTTCTTCCTATTAACTTGCAGATTATACATTAGGTTATTGTTTGATTTTTCGATGCTTTCTAATAGAAAAATAATCAAAAAAAAGGTCTTTATTTAGTACTGTGTTTACGCATGCGGTTTACATGTGTGGGCTGGAATGACGTCATTGGCAAAAGAAAGATAAGGAGAGAGATAAAGAGAGAGGAAGTAAGAATGAAAAGTGGTAGGGGAAATAGTTGTACACGTGTGCGCAAGTATATGTGTTCCCTGGCTGGTGGCCGTGGCATCGTATAGTTCGTAGAGTGGCGGAGGAGAGTGTCAGTTGCTTGCTAAGTCTGCATTACTCGTCTATGTCTATGCTTACGAGTAGTAAGATAACGCGAGTGATTTTACCGAACTAAGGGTAGTGGATTTCGATTAAACGAAATTAATACGGACCACATGCACAACTGATTAAGATGCTCATCAAAGAATTGTAAGTAGATTGTTTCATTCTATTACATTTAGTATTAATGAATGCACTATGCGTAATCGCAAATACCAAATTTGAAACTGAAGTTTGAGATATGGTTACCGATCTTTAACGGTACGTGATAATGGAAGGGAGAAGAGACATTTTCATCCCTCACGGCCTTTTAAGGGAAGCATTTGTTCTATACACAAAGTGATTATTATCTTAGCATTTCATTATTTAATCCCTTATTCCAAATTTTTCGGCAATATTGATTTATTACGAATTTGCTGCTCGAGCAAAATTTTCTTGTACTTGATCGTATGTACCTGCACTTATCTATGTACGTGCTTCTATTTAATGAAGGAAGATATCTCAAGGCTAACTTTTGATATTTCTTCATGTTCTTACATATTTATAATACAAATAATAATATGTTTTTGTTACAGTCGTGTCACTTTACCTCTGACCGTGGAAGAAGTATGTATTTAAAATCATTTTAAGCTTTAATTATAACTGAGATCTTTTTTTATGATGATACTCTATATTTATCTTTTATTGCAATTCATCTAATTACTATTTCTTCATTACTGGAATATTACCTTTTACTTCTTAATTATACGATGTTCTATAAAACAGATGTTATTATTAATTAGTTGTGATAAAAAGAAGAATTTTACATAAGATATGCAAATTCTTGAATACAAATTTTTTTCAAATAATTGTCTTAAATCCTTCAAGGATAATTAAATCTTAGATACTATGTGACAACTTTATTTCATGTTCAGATTTTTATATGACTTTTTCTGTCTATGGTAATAGAAAAAATATATATTAATATTATTTGATCTTTCTCTATTTTCAACAGTACCAAGTTGCCCAATTATATTCCGTGGCAGAAGCGAGTAAAAATAATACAGGTGGAGGAGAAGGTATAGAGGTTCTAAAAAATGAACCTTTTACGGATTATCCTCTGCTCGGTGGAAAGTATTCTGCTGGTCAATATACATATAAGATTTATCATTTAGCCAGTAAAGTGCCTGCTTTTATTCGTATTTTACTTCCAAAGAATTCTTTGGAAATTCATGAAGAAGCTTGGAATGCATATCCATACTGCAAAACTGTTATAACTGTAATTATCCATCCATAAATATTTCTTCATTATATTGAAATTGTATTTTACTTTATATCAATTTCTTTCGTAGAATCCTGGTTATATGAAAGAGAATTTTATAATTATGATAGAATCCTTTCATATTGGAGATTGTGGAAATCAGCATAATGTAAGTGTCATTTTAAAGTAATGGTATACATTATTTATTGTTTTTTTTATATATTTATTTTGTTTATTTCGGCAGGTTCATGAATTACCCCCTGATAAGCTTAAGATGAGAGAAGTAGTACATATAGATATAGCAAATGATCCTATTGCTAGTGCTGATTATAAAGAAGACGAAGACCCAACAAAGTTTAAATCGCAAAAAACAGGACGGGGTCCTCTTGTGGGCAAAGATTGGATGAACAATGTTCAACCTGTGATGACATGTTATAAGCTAGTTACTTGTGAATTTAAATGGTTTGGTTTCCAAACGCGTGTTGAAAGTTTTATTCAAAAAGCAGAGAGACGTCTATTTACAAATTTTCATAGACAAGTCTTCTGCTGGATAGACCGTTGGTATGGATTAACAATGGAAGATATCAGAGCTATCGAAGACAATACTAAAGAAGAATTGGACAGGGTATGGAATCATCTCTATTTTGTTAATTACATAACAATGAATATTTATAAAATACTAACAATTTATTTTGATTTTTTTTTTTTTTTAGCAAAGACATCAAGGAGAAGTACGTGGAATGCGAGCCGATGATTGAGGCTTCAAAAGCCTCTCTCATAAATGGTTTAAATCAATTTCCTTATACTTGTCATACATAGATATATGCGCATACCTATGGATGTATACCCAGACAAACCCTGCCATAGGCGATCCTGCAGGATCGGGACATTTTCCAGAACTTATGTGTCTAGATTCAGTGTCTAATACAATTACTTACAATTTTAATTTATTTACATTTACAACCATTTTAGATAAATGTACCTACAGTCAAAGATTGTCATTAGAATATAACTGTTAACATGGAGAACTGATATAAATCGGTCCTATTTAAGTAATGCATAAATTACAAGAAAAAGAGAATTTGATTTGTTTGAAACCGATATAGATTAAAAAAAAACAGTAATAATTAATAACTTAGTAGTTCGATAATAATATATAATTAAATTTATTGACAAGCAACTGACATTGCTTGGTGCAAGGTACGTGCAAGGGTAAATGTGACTTGATGTGAATTTAATTTATAGGCAGATGTTTAAAAAGGGGAAGTGGGAAAAAAAAAAGAAAAAAAAAAGAAGACCATGATTTAAATCTTATTATAGTGGAATCTGGTTACATATTTATATAATAATTAAATTGCGTAGATAAGATACCTTTGCTCTTGTATCTTCAAGCTTACTGGCATATTGTGATGATGTTCTCCAGCATTCCTCAAGGCCTGCACAATGTATTATAATCAGGAAATTAAAGAAATCTATTTTGTTAGAATCACAATACGAATTTCACTAATATATCTCTCAGAATGTATACCAATGTTATAATAGATGGTAGGTTACAAAAAGTGAGGCTCGTGTATTATGTGCTTTTCATCGAAAAGCCAAGTTGTCCCACATTCTTTATTTAGGACCAAATTGATAGATTTCTGAAATAATAAATTCGAATGCAATAAAATGGCATAAATAATTCATTGTATGGAATTGTGGGATGTATATATTTTATGCAAAACAATAAAAAAAAATTAATTAAAAATATCAATATGACAGGCATCGAGAAAAAATTACTCTTTGCTCAATATAAATGATAAAAGAAGAAATGGAAAAAAAATCGTCTATTGTATATAAGGAAGGCAAATAATGATAAAATCCAAATTAAAATAACACATATAATGTTTCTTTTGCATTCCAATGGATCTCTATAAAATGATATAAATTTTTTCAAAACAGGTTCTGTATGCGCACTCTTGAAATAATATAGTATGTGCATAGTGAAAGTATTGATGAAAACTGCAGCAATTAAAAATAAAGAAAATAGTATGAGGTGTCGTTTGCACAAAACTAATTATACAGTTTCGAACTTAGGCTAATGTGTAAGATAGACTTTGAAACTTGAATTCATTTACAATAATAGTTTAAAGAAAATACAATATATATATATATATATATAATAAAAATCGGTACACATATAATTATTATAAATATTATATGCGTTAATAGTTAAATAAACAAATAATTAATTTACTTTTGGTTAGAATATTGATTGCCAACAAATGATGTCTATGCTGCTCAATTAGAACTTTCACTATATGTTTCAAACCTGTAGTTTCTTCATTAAATTCCATTAATGCAGATTACTTTTATGGAGTTGGACTACACTGTGCGTAATAGATACTACCTGTATTATAATATTCATTACTTAATATGTAGGTAAGCATTAGCTAGTTCTTATAACAAACAGGATAAAAATCGTGAATAACAATTCTTGTAATGTTGACAAGGATTAATCAGTGAAATACCAGTATATATGTGTAAATGCATGCTGTGCATTAGCATACATATATACATGTGTATTTATGTGTCAAACATTTACATAGATAAAAGTAAATAAAAATAGAGAGCATAATATGCAAGACGTATTGTTTTTTTTTCTTATATATATATAAAATTATGTCATATAAAAAATATATAAAATATGTAACTTGTGAATACGAACTAAAATTTAACTGAAATCATATTCTTTAATAAGATTTCCAGCTATAACCAATTTTTGAATTTCTGAAGTTCCTTCATATATTTCTGTAATACGTGCATCTCTGTAATGTCGTTCTGCTGGCATATCAGTGACGTAACCCATACCACCTAATATTTGTATACACTGATGCGCACAGAAAGTAGCAGCTTCAGATGCTGATAGTTTTGCCATAGCAGCTTCCTGTATATAATGTCTTCTTATTACTTAGTTTTTTTTTTTTTAAATAACTATAATATAGCTTTAACATATGCGAAAGAAATGTTATACCTTCGTATACGGTTTACTAATATCTTTAAGATATGCAGCTCTCCATGTTAATAATCTGGAGCTTTCCAATTTTAAAGCCATATCTGCTAATTTTTGTTGAATGATTTGTAGTTTCATAATAGGACTTCCAAATGCTTCGCGTTTAGCTGCATATTCTATTGCACAATCAAGAGATGCTTGGGCTATTCCAAGAGCTTGGCTAGCAATACCTATTCTTCCAGAATCTAGAAAGTATCTGTAATTTGATTAGATCATCTAACGTTATATGTACTAAAACGTGGATATACCGACCTAATGTCATCATTGCAATTTTAAAACCCATTCCTGGTTCTCCTAAAATATTTTCTTCCGGTATTTTGCAGTCTTCAAATATCAAAGAACAGGTACTACTACCTCTAATACCCAACTTATCTTCTTTTTTACCTAGGGATAAACCTTTTATAGGTTTGTCCACTATAAAACTACTTATTCCTTTATGCTTCTTTGATTTATCCGTGGTAGCAAATAAAATAACTGCCTTCGATTCATACCCATTTGTTATCCATGATTTAGTTCCGTTGATAACATATCCATCTCCAACATGTTTTGCAACGGTAGAAGCAGCACCTGCATCTGATCCATTACCAGGTTCGCTTAGAGCAAAGCAACCAACTTTTTCCCCATCTATAAATGTTCCAATATATTTTTCTTTTTGTTTCGCAGTGCCAAACTTTTCAATGGGTCCCAGATACAATGAATTATGTACGCTCATTATTACTCCTGTACTAGCGCAACCTCTAGATATTTCTTCCATGGCAATTGCATACGCCAAATAATCTAAGCCAGTTCCACCTAAATTTTCAGGAACCGCAATACCTAAGAGACCAAGCTCTCCCATTTTTTTTATTTGTTCTTTTGGATAAAGATGTTCTTTATCCAATTTTGCTGCGATAGGTTTTAGTTCACCTTCTGCGAAGTCTCTATATTAAAATATCAACGATGGCTTATATATTAACTCAATATTATTAGAGAGTTAGAGAGATTTAGAAAGTATATAGTGTTATAATACATGTATAAGTGTTCATTTGTAATTTGAAAAACTAAATAATAATCAACAAAATAATGATTATAACCTGCAAGTTTTGTATAGCATCTGATGTGTCTCGGGTAAAGAAGAAATTGATGCGATGTTTCGAGTACTCGAGTAACATGTTTGAACAAAATTACGGACTTTTCCTAAAGAGAAGAAGAGAAAGAAAATGATGAGAAAAATCTATACGATTCGATCGTCCGATTATGCATATCATGAATACAAGCTCACCATATAACCTCAAGTTCTGCATTACGTAGTATTTCACTATTTGTAAATATTTCACTCAAATAAAGTTAAATTCCAACAATTAAAATAATAACTGGGATTTAATTTTATAATAACAAATATATATTTACATAGAAATAATAGAAATAATATAAATGCAAATAAAGTATAGTTAATTACTTGAAATTATCGTACCAGATAATAGATAGAAGACAGAAATAAGTCGTATGATATTGATATTTACAATTAAATTAAAAAATAAGATGACTGTATATAAGAATATTTGTGTGCTTCTTAGTTTAATTTAATTTATTTATCTTGACTTTCTTACGCGTAAGTTGAAAGTCCAACTTGTCGAAGGATCATTATCGTTAAGTGGATTGTTGTTTTTCTTTCCCTTTTTTTTCATACGGTATAAAATTTAATTTATGATTCATGCTTTAATCAACTATAAATTAATCTAACATGTTAAATTATTCAATTAGTCTTCATTGATATATAACGTTGATGTAGGCTTAAATAAATGGTACATGTTTATTTAAAGTAATGTATTATGATAATAGACATTTGCAGGAATTCATTTTCATTCAACATACTTTTTTTTAATGTAATTCGAATGTTATTTACAAAATTTACGATAAAAATATGGCACATATTGACATATGTACACATGCCTGTAAAAGGCATGTTGCTCACACAAAATAAAACAAAATAAAAATGAAATTTGGAGCGATTGTTTTCGATAAAAAAAAACAAAGTCGCAGTAGTAGGAAAGAAAAGATTTGAATGTGTAGGATAGCGTGAAAAATAGAAAAATAAAAATAGATTATTATTGAGGTCAACGGCTCTTTCTCTCTTTCTCTTTCTTTAGGGAGATCATTTTCGCAAGTGAGTTTCCTCTCTATAGTAGTCTCTAGTAACAGTGGTCTAGTGACATGATGATTGTTGACAGAGCTCTGTTGGAATGAGCTTGTAGAAGCTTGTACGACTATAGAGAGTTTGTATGCTGATATCTGGAATTTTGTTTAGAAAATTTCGAAAATTGTTCTACGATAGAAATTGTTTGAAGAATTTATTCTAAAGTTAGTTTTGATTTCATCGGACGATCCACCATAGGGAGATATCGTGAGAAGAACAAAATGAGGTAAGTATTCACTGGCTTCTCTTATTGTGACTTCTTTTACATGCTGCATACTCTCTTCTCCTCTCTTATCCTAAATTTTATTGGTTAAATAAATGTTTCGTATTTCCAAAATCACGTTTGGCACGACATTATTTTATGGATGTTTTGGGCGGCATGCCAATCCAATTAAACGATAAACGTTCGTCGCAAGCTCGAACGTACCGTAGTGTATTGCTATTAGGATAAGGAGGGAGAGGCGGGAAGAGATAAAGGCGGTACGTTAGCTGTCATACAAGGCCGCCATATTTTTTTAAACGACGCTATGCGTTGATCGTTGATTCTTAAGATAATAGATACAAGTGTTTTCTTTCCATATTTACTTTATCTCTCATCGATATTTAATAAATGTTATTCAAATGATTGACGATCATTTTTTTTTTTTTATACAATTTCATGCAATATTTACATATATGAAAGTGATATTATTATTGGATGTAAAGCCATTAGAATTAGCTACCAACAAAATATAGAATTTTTCTGATGGTTTAATGATTGCTTGACTGTTTTCAGTGGAAGATCACAAATGACGGCGATGAATGGAAAAAGGCTATCTACGATGCCTGCCAAACATCAACCTGAAACTGTAGCTCAGCATTTCGACTTGATTAAATATATATTTGATTGTATGTATTTCAAATAATCAATCAATGTTATTTTATTCTTATAGAAACAAATAAGATGGGCATTGTTTCTGTTTACAGCTTGGAACTCCGTATCAAAAGAATTAGACATGTGTAACCAACCGCATTTGAATTCTTCGAGTTATAGGAATGGCATTACCGTTACATATTATCAAGAGCACGAACCTAATCCTAAACTTAAAGGTAAATAATCTTTTCATTTCCTTGACTATATAAAGAATTACTGTAGTTGATGTAAGAATCAGTGATATTAAATAAATTGTTTTTTTTGTTTGTTTATATAGATTTTGAGCCATTTGATCTGGAAGCCTGGTGGGGAAAGCGCGTAGTTCAAAATATTACCAGGAATTCGAGCTCCTAGTGCCAGGCCGAAACTGTTGGTTACAATCGAACGTTTTCAAACAGACATAAGAAGCAGAAAAGATAATCTCAAAGTTGGTGCAACCTTGACACTATTCTGACTTAAAACCGTAACACAGATCGTATTACACAACACGCAAACGCAAGCCCAAATATATATAAGAAAAAAGCACAGGTAAATCTTGTGAAATTTTTGATAACGAGTTGATGAATATTGCGGAAAAACAAGAGGAAAGGAGAATAGCATTATTTGATGCATATGCTACTAAACAACATTCCTCTTACCTTTGATCGTATTCTAATGCAATGTTATCTTTTACTTCGCCAGTTTAAGAGACACGTGTATTATATGAAATTAAAATTTTTACCTTTTTCTAGTTCTAGCATACACTATCTTAATAAGATTTATAGAAATAATTAGGAAAACGTTGATGCATGATGAATTATTTATTTTATTTTGCAAAGAAATATCTAAACATAGGTACTAGGCTATTCTGCAATTCGATTTTCTCTATTAATTAACGATATATATATATATAATACGCGTTAAGATAAACATGTATATAAACACAACAAAAATTCCGTGCGATTTTTACATCTTTAAATTAAGATTCATGTGGATAGTAAAATTAACTTAATGCACAAAGCATTTAATCGATATTGTAATCACAATTGACAAAAGTATGTGGGTAGATAGTTTCAACTTTTACTTTTAAGAATTTATATATATATATACCATATATATATGATATGATTGTAAGAATTTATATATATATATATAATGAATTTTCACATTAATTGCATTTTACACTAATAAAAATTTTGCTCTTCTCGGCACTTACAAAAAAAAAAAAGAAAAAAAAGAAAAAAAAAGAGATATTTATGTTGAAACAAAAATAGGAACAAATTTTTCTAAACGTGTTCTAGAATTATTACTATTAATAATAATATAAAAGCAATGAAATGTTATTATATACGTGAATTTAGATTGGTGAATTTTTATAGTAGATGCAATTCGCAGAATTATTACTGCATAATTTTAACGATAAGTACGTAACACACACAAACACCCACACACCAACACGCATATGTGTATGTATGATATGTATATGTTTTATAATATGTATATCTATGCGTGTATAGTACTTGTATAAGATTAATTGGATAGCGTTTTTAAAGAGAAAACACGATCAGTGACCTTCTACTAAATGTGAGAGTTTTGTTAATTGTCCAGTCACTTTTTATTTAATTTCTTACCTATTATAAAAACTTTTTTACAACGTGTAGGATATTTTATTTATCCTCCAGTTAAACGTTCGATGCATTCAACAAATTCCTCCTTTCTCAAACACTTTGATTTGTTCTCGATCATAGATCTTGCGTGATGTAACGTGTTACATTTTAAAAGGTCTACGGTTCGTTCCAAATTTGATAAATTCCTTTCGATGGCACGTTTTTCGCTATTTAACATCTGTTTGATCGATGAAACTTTTTGTAGAAACATGATATTCATTTTATAAAAAAAAAATGATCGAATACATACCGTATGGCCAACGTTTAATCGTTGAAAATCGCGTATTTGAGTGATCGAAGTTTGCGTATAATTATCACATTTTCGTGTTAACACAGTTTGAGTGGCACAGTTAATACCAGTACGTTCGATTTTAATGGATGTTGAAAGATTTTTTAAGAGTATTACAACTTTATCTGGCGAACTTTCATGATATTTTTCCTCGCAATCGAAAATTTCCAATTTTAAGTGTGCCATCTTTGTACTAGTCATAGGCGAATGTTTGATTTTCATTTGCCGAGTGTTTGAGAATCCGATCACATATTCATCATAAAAAATTCCATTTTTATGCGACTCGATGCAGAGCACTTTTTTATCAACGCTTTTCGACACGATGTCCTTATTTTCAAGATTACATTTTGTTAAAGAACATTTTGTACATTTTGTCAAATCATTTGTAATCGTTTGCTCCTTTTTAAAATCATTTGCTAGATTTTGTACGTCGTTGTTTTTTTGCGTGCTCTCATCGGTACTTTTGCTTAAATCATTTTGTGTCTAGGATTCAATCACGAGATGAGGAGCTTTGTAATATTTTCAATTTAGAACAATTGATTGGAGTTGGTACCTTTCGTTTGAGACTCTTGATAATTTCTCGCAGTACTAAATTTTGAGACCTCAATTTGTCTGTTTCCTTATCGTACTCTCTTTCATTGACTTTCCAAGTAAACTGTCTCAGTTTCTTTATAGCTTCTTCGAAATGTGGTTCGACTTTGGTTAAATTTGCCACGGCTGCGGAAGTAAGCTGAAAGGTATTTTCAAGAAGTTGGAAAATCGTCGATTAAACTCACCTTCCGCGGTAAGGCGACACAAGGTTTTAACGTCGAGATCGAAGTGTTCTAAAGTTTCCAACAAATTTGCTAATTCGCGAGTTCTCCTTTCGAAGGATACCTTTTCTTTATCGTGTTCCTTGATTTTTTCGTCGAGTCGACATATCTAGATAAAAATCTGCTTGATTAACGCGAGAACATTTCGATGCACACGTATATACGTATATTTGTATTGGAGTAATATATTGGGAAACCCATCGTTATTTTGGGAATTAAATAGAAATTACTATTTCCGTTTTCAGCTCGACAGAAATCACCAATTAAATTATCCGATCGGATAGTTCGTTATATTAGATTTAGGGAATTAGATTTCGCACCGAGAACGTTTAGCTCGCATAAATGGAAGACAGAGGACCTCGGGATTTCTCTATATCGAATAGGGTATTGGTGCAAATGGCGAAAAGTAAAGTCAAGAAGAAGTACTTTGATCCTGAAGCTTTTCGCACGCGGGTCACTATTGTAATCGAAATTGCATTTTCGATCCTTGAAAGGGAGTGTCGTATGGACTTTGAATTTACAGCCGCGAAAGGAACTTGGGAATTACATTTACTTCGTTCGTTCTATTGAACATCTCTCTCATTTCTCCTTCTTTGTCCGTTTATCAATTTGGTAAATATTAAAGATACATAAATATACCTTTTCTTTTGCTTCCTTGTAAAAAAAGTATAATTCGTCGTGCTTTTTATCCATCTCTTCATGTTCCCACTTCTTTTCAACAGATTTTGTCGCGTCTTTGATCTCGCTTCTGAAACGAAAATCGTACTCGATGGTATTCAAGATTTTCCTAGTCTTTAGTATAGCTGTTTTTTTTCTTTCTTCAAATCTTCAATAGATTGATTGATCTCGAGTCGTAGTGCGAGTATTCGTATTTGGAATAACGAGACGAAGCCGTCTATGATTATGCAGCTTTCTCTGTCGCGCATCTACGCTATCACTATCGTAACATAAATTATTGAGGGCGTAATCGCGCGGACAAACGATCGTTCTGCGCTCGGCTTAATCCTTCGTGTACTACGTTGGAATACGAAATGCCGGCCGGCTCTTTCCCTCTCACTCTAGATGAGTCAACAAACTAAGACTATTAACCGTAAATACATATATTCTCTATATATATAACGGGAAGTACGTCTGTTTGCGAATTTGCATCAACTCGAACTCGATCGAATGACACATCTACTTACTTTTTCATTCTCCTCGTTTTCCCCTCGTTTTCCCCTTTAAGATAACAGAAGAGGATATTAGAAAACATAACGACGAGATCAAGTTATCGATCTATCTATCTATCTATCAACTGGATCATCGTTCGAATTTCTTCTTTGAAAATTTCCATCCCTTATCTTCGCGTGTCCCTTGCTTGTAGCGATTTATCTGACCGTCTCAACTAAATTTATCACGCAAACGTGTGTACTACTATTGTACGTGTCGTTCGTTCGTGTATGTGTGTGTGTTTACACCACCCTGTTTCCTGGCTCGTGTCAAGCTAGATATGTATAACGATAAATAACCATATACATAGATTGCGTTTCATATCAGCTTATAATGCGTGTGCATAAAGACGCCGTGTGCTTTACGTGCTTAAATGTAACTCCTCGCGCTTTCATCCTGACCATAAACACATTTTAATACATATTTTAGTCAATTAATAGTATTCCGAATACACTTTCAAAGCTTCCTTTCATATCGTCAATATTAATGATAATAGGACGAGGAACTTCTTCTAAATTTGACCCCACCCATCCCCGATACTTTATTATTATTATTACACGTAGTGTTTCTCTGAACGGACTCCGAGCACGTTTCGAATGAAATTTATTTTTACAGGAGAACGCGAAGCACATGGAAACGCTTTTTTCACGAGAATTTTTGTTTTGTTTCGTTTCGTTTCGTTTGATTTCACAAACGATTTGGTTCATTGGAACGAGTATCGCGACCCTCGCGATCCACGATTGATTTCGGTTGAAAAAAAGATTATGACACGGCCTCGGGAACTAAATCGAGAGAGGAGAAAGAAGCAAAAAGGGCATATGAAAGAAAGAAAGAAAAATGGAAATTATTCGTTTGACAAATAAAGCTCGGCACGTTGGAAGGTATTAACCGTTGTTTAATTTTTCAAGCCGATATTCAATATGATACCACGAATCGCACGTGCCGATCAAATATGCCAGCAATTGAATTTCTCACGGATTCCTTCTAGTATAGAGATTCGAGATACTATTCGCTCGTTCGAACAACGAGGAGGAATGAGGGAATGCATGCTCGATCCAGTGCGACTAATCAAGATTAATGGGAATCAAGATAGATCGATGTAGTACCTTTTCTTCGAGACATTGACTACCCTACGTATGTATTACAATATTAACTATTTACTTTACAAGACGGTATATGAATTTTGTTTGTCAATGTGTACAAGACGTGTAAGTAGGATCGATCAAAGGTGTTTGGATCGTTACCTTGTTCTATGACCTTGTATTCGTTCACGCATCGCCGTGTTCTTCCAAAGGTCCCTCTCGTTCTCCGTCTTTTTCAACTTTATTTTCATTTCCGTGACGTCTCGCAAGCATTCCTCGGCGAATCTTTGAATCTCTGAAGATTAATCGACCATTTTTTTCTTTCTTCTCCTTACCCTTAGATGGGGTTTGTTGTTAGTTCGTGTTTTATCGTTATATCTATAGAAGGACTCGCGACATCGAGGAGATCAAATATAGTACGTGTGTGTGTGTGGATAAAAAAAAGCAACTAAATTACTTCCAATTGTTAAATTATTATTTAACAGGAAAATTACCTCCCAATTCTTTTCGATGCTTCTCTGATTGTAATTTCATTTCGACAAACTTTGTATCGATTTCTTCGAACTTACTACGAAATCGCAATGAATTCTTTTGTTGTTTCTCTAAACGGTACATTTATAAATGAATATTTTCAATGTTTTGTATATTTCATCGAAAAGAAAAAAAATTAAAGTAACGGTACCGCATTCAGTCATTTTCCGTGGAAGAATTGACGTGTAATAACATTGTTTCACAATAAAACCATTCTGCTCTTGTGCCCCATAAACAAATATGACGTAACCTCGACGTGACCTTCGAACAGAAGTTTCCGACTCGTTTGATGCCAGTGGTGTATGCGAATCCTCTCTTTCTATCTCTTTCTTGACAAGCTACATTCGCTGCAAGTTGTCCGTAGAAAGAGTTAATCGATCAAGAACGGATCGAACTATTCCCGCTTGATGCTTCTATCTATCGTTAAGCTTCGATGTTTTTTTTTACAATGTTGCTTTCCAATTTGACAAGTTCGAATTTCACGCCGAACGGATATTGTCATTTTTTCTTCTCGTTTATTTTTACAATATAATTTTCTGTCTTATCAAATCGATATAATATTATTATAATAGAAAAATCTTCATCACGTAGAGTTCCTATCCCGTTTTTGTTTAATCGTTCCAAATTAAAAATTCCAAATTGAAAACCACGGGAGATCAATTTGAAATTGTCAAATAAAATGTAAATTAATGTAATTAAAGGTTACATGCTCTACGAATAATATTCCAAATGCGCATAACCAAACTTCCAAATCTCTCTGCGTGGTTCGTAATTTTCCTGTAATTATGATTCAGCATTGTTTTAGATATATGTCGCGCCCGACGGGGGTAAATATACTGTTAACCGATTAAATATAAACTCAATGTAGGGAAATGTAAATGACTGGTAAAGAACACAGTGCAGCTAAAGGGTTAAATATCTTCCTAGGTGTATACGGAGAAAATGCACAGAGAATGAGGTTTTCTCTTTGTTCGCGATACGTGGTACGCGTGTAGAAAAGAAAGGAAAATAAAATGGTAGAAAAGAGATACAAGAAAGGATCCTCCTTGTTACATGTTAATGATCTCTCACCAGTCTCATTTTTCACGATGGAAACAAAATACGAAAATAGTAAGTCTCTAGGGACATCCTCGCAACATCATCGTTGTGCCCGTCGGACATTTCGGATGTTATAATTTGCATCTCCTATTTCGAAAACAACAATGCCAGACATTAATAAACGCGCGAGAATACGCGCATCCTGTCACGTCTCGTTACAACACTTTCAATGCTTCCTGGTAGAAAAAAAGAGAAAGATCGAGAACCACCATCAGAAAATGCTAATAGAAGAAAGACAGACAACTTTTGGATTTTGTTGTCAAGTATTTGAAAATTACCGATGCACAATTTAATTCATTATGTCATCTTCGGTATTGTTCGTTAATTGTCCCTATATTTTTACTTCCTTTTATTTGGACTAATCGTTAAATTTCTCAAAGATTTACCTTCTTTTCCCCTGAGAGAATTTCTTTATTAATCCGGTAAATCGTGCTCATTGTTCGCGATTCGGTTGATCTTTCGCCGCGATCTTTCCCGTACCACTAAGGTGGAATATGGACTCGATTAAAAGTTTCAAGACTGATTTCAAAAGCGAAATATGCTCGAGAGAAAGTTTCGAGGGTTTAGACGACCGTGGATAAAAGTTTTGGTGGACCGAGAGTCATTGGTGGACCAAGAAAAAAAAAGCCAAGAAGATCATCATCCCCTATCTTTCCTTTTTCTTCCTTATCTTTTTTCTCTTCCTTCTCTCTTCTTTCTCTTGTCTTTGTTTTCCTTTTGGTCCATCTTCTTTTTCCAAAGAAAACGCTAAAGTTTCAACGTCGAAAGGAGGTACTCTATCCTGAGATAAAATCTACTCGGTACTGCGTTCTTTTCAATCTCGATCCTGTCGAACTTTAATGAGGTTCTCCTAGCTTTTCGATGACGCTAGACACGCCGTACGTTTCCTCTGTAACGGTGACGTGTAATTCGCTTTCTCGTACCACTTCTGCACGTACTCGTTCAGGTAGCAACAGGTATAAGAAGAAAATCTTCGAATGAAAAGGTTGATAGGGAGGATGACCGTCGTCTTATTTTCTCTCCTTCTTCTTCGATTTATGAAAGAGACCAAAAAAGTAAGAAGATGGCCCTTGGCACGAAATACTTTCTCTTAGGCGGATGTGCCTAAAACTCGGATACCAACTGAGAAATGAGAGTGGTGATAAGATTGCTTGGTGGTTCGAGTCAAGTACGAGTTTACAAGTTCGAGTTTTAACGAGACTTTATGCGAACAAAGAGATAGAAAGAGGAGAAAAAGGGGGGGGGGAGAGAAAGAGGACCCTCAATGATATTGACCCACACGTACAAACGCAACAGGTTCTTCTTTTTTTCAACCGTGTGGGATACTTTCCGAGTAAACTTGCTGAAAGACATAGGTACTTAAAATACGTCCCACCTATATATGCGTTAATCACGACCAACCAACCAACCAACCAACCAACCAACCAACCAACCAACCAACCAACCAACCAACCAACCAACCAACCAACCAATCCTTCTGCTTTCGTGCACGTACTCTTGCAATATTATTTTCGAGTGAAATGCATGGCGAGACATCGAGTAGACGGTAAAGGAGAAGAGATCGTCGTCTATGGAGATTATTCGAGTAGCTAATCGATCTTTGGCTTCGTCGTAGAGACAGATGGAACAGACAACATTCCATATAATTCCGCGTCGTTTGGAGGAGTTGGAAGCAACGCGTAGAACGTCACTTGAATCATGATCTTCGGAGGTATTAAGTACCATTGTTCGATGACGTTCGAGAATTTAACCGAGGAAATGTTTCTCTTCGTGTCAAACTTGACACGGATATTAAATGTCTTTTCCTTTAAACACGTACGTCTCATCGTTACCCCGTTACCGAGGTCACATAAACGAGCGGTCGAAACTTTCCTTCCAATGTTTTTATTATTATCATCACCGTTATTTATCGTCAAACACGACGTATGTAAGTAGGGATTTTACGACAGGTCGGAAATGAAATAACGCATCGGATGCGACGTGGCGCTTCTTTTTCTCTCTCTCTCCCTAGGATCTAATTTCATTACCATAATTATATTAGGTTTTATCTTACCGTAGCAGATGAGCGTGAACCACGGTTTACTTTTAAACCTCATCTCGTTTTGCAAGATATTTCTACGCGTGAACGTTCTATTTGTTTTGAATTTTCTTAATCAATTGAATTTAATAATAAAGAGATATAGAAATCGTTGGACGTTTATGTGCATGGTAAAACGATCTCGCTCTTATGTTAAACTCATAGGTATACAGTATGGTATATAGAAGAGTATGATTTGCAAAATTTATCTCGAGCATCGATAGAAACTGAATGTACAAATGCATTTCCTACACTTGTAATTATATCGAGTTGAAAAGAGGCCAGGGGGAGGAAAAGCTTATTACGGCAAATCGTGGTGCCGTGAGGTATTTAATTAGCAACGATTATCTATCAACCGATCATTGAAAAGCTCTCGATGAATTAACAACGCAACTGTCGTTAATAGGAAGCAGCGTTCGTATATGTGTTTTCAGGGTTGCTCGTAGAAAATCCATTAAAATTGGTATACCACTCACAAGTAACCCGATTTTCGCTTGAAAAAACACATATCGTTATTCCATTAATTTTAACGAACTCGTCGAGTAGTTTGCCTTGAATATTTATCAAATTATCGAGTCATTCTCATCGATGCACGATCAAGTGAACGCCAGGAGATTCGCGGAAATTCGCGGAATGAGACGAGAGTTCGTTGTTGTTTTACCTTTCTATTTTGTTATCGTTCTCGTCTCTCTTCGCGCTTCATTTAACGTTGGATTCCATCCGGAACTTTCATTAAGAGTACACTTCCCTTTCGTCTCCACGAATGTCCTGATTTTAATCGTAGCAAAATATTTACGTTTCTTTACTTAAGAAGGAGAGCAAATGAGAGAGAGAGAATATGGAACGCAGGATCGTTTCAATCAAGGAGCCCAACAAATCCTCTAATTTATATGGGTACCAACCAAGGGATGGGAGAAAATCTTTTAGGAAGTAAAAGGTTGAAAATAAAAAAGAAGATAAAAAGAAAAATAGTATATAGAGAAAAAGAAGAGTTGCAGGATCGGACATCGAAGATGAAGACGCAGAAGAAGAAGAAGAAATAGAAGTAGAAGGTATAGTACTCGCCCTCCACCCCCGAAGGTGTTAGCTCGAGCGAGTTTCGAGGTGAAACGCGTGCGCGAGCGGTTTTAATCGGAGACGGAGAGGGAAGGGCGAGGGCGAGGGTGAGGGTAAGGGTGAGGGCGGGGGCGCGGTCATGGGGCAGAGAACAGTTGCTCCCCAGTTGGCTTTGATACGCGTTCCACGACTGTCCTCTTGCATTTCGACTTTTCTATTAACCGCGTCGTTCTCGTATCATTCCTCGAAGTCGTTTTCTTTTAGTCGTGTAGCGTATAGACAACGTTTATCATTCCTCATTCTTTCTCAAGGGAGAATAAAGGAAAAGGGTTTGAAGCAACAACAAGGAGGAGCAACATTCGAAGGAAGATTCTCACCGTCGGGAAGATGCGACACGAAGGAATGCGCGAATCTTTGCTGGTAAAATACTTTTACAATTTTCTTCTTCGATATCCATTCTCTTCTCATTTTTTTCTCGAATTGTTCAAATTATTTTATTGTTTGGATCCTCGCGAGATGGGAGGGAAAAAAAGAAGGATTGATCTATGGATCGATCGATCGATCGATCGTTATCTTGTTAGGAGGGACGGACGAATGCGAATTCGTTGGATTTGTTTTTATTTCTCGTTGGAACATTCGATGTCTCGACGTTGTGACGGCAATTGGGTATCGATTCTCATTTCGCTTATGCACGAGGCACGTCGTGTATAAACGCGCGTCGGTCCTACCTCCGACCCTATGTGTCTACAATAGTACACGTCTGACGAAATAGCTCAGGACAAGAGGGTGAATAACTATCACTTTTCGTGACTTTTCTAAATCGATCATTTGGAGAATGAGAAGGAACGTGAATAGCTGATAATATTTATCTTTTCGAAGTATCTTCTTCCCTATTATACGAGCTCGAAGCACAACGAGAAAAGTCTTTATCAAGCTTCGATACGATTAAAGATTTGGCTCTAATTTGACCATGCCATTTAAAACTTTTGAATCGCATCAATTTTGGAACGATAGCTATTAAAACGATTCTCGATTTGGGTCGTAACGTGATCGAGCTAACACATTCCCGCTCTTTAAATCGTGATTTCCTTTTTGCTATTCGTACGTTTAATAAAATTCATTCCCTTTTCTCTCTCTCTCTCTTTCTCTCTCCTTTTTTCTTTTTGTCTCTGCTTTTCCATAGATATCTATTTTTCCTTTCGTTTTATATTTACACCTACATAAATACGTACCTACTCATACATATACGTTGGCACGTCGAGTAGCATGATGAATGGTGCGTCAACGTCACGAATCGACTATGCCGTCGATCATGACAAATCCGATATGTTTCGAGTTCATAAAGAGATTATTAACCGACGCTTTAACATCATTTTCTTCGGGTATATCTAGAGACTTTTTTTTTCCTTTGGCTATTAGAAGTCATCGTTCGTTATGATGAAAGCTGTATAGGGTGGAAAGGATAAAATCGATCCGTCCGATCACAGTAGACTACAAGTCTTTCGTGGTATGCCATTCTGGATAAACAAGGATAAGAATGAGCTGGATAGAGGAGGAGGATAAAATGATACAACGGAAGAACGTTAATGGCTTGTGTGTCTAGGTTCAAAGATATTTTCGGTATTTGCGTTCTCCTTTCCTCTCATCTACCTGCAGTCAACGGAATCCAGAATATCGAGGTTGGTGTTCTGGCATTAGCCGGAGATAACCATTAACAGCGTTTTCCTGGCCGTTGTGCGAAATCCGAATCACGTGGTACTTCCATTTTCATCGAATTTTTGTCTCTTTCTTTTTATCTACGTAGAAATTTAGCCAACGACTTGGCAAGCTCGTTGTTTCTTTCTCTCTGAACGTTAGTTGTGTGTATATCGGACGATCAAAATAAAAAACGTCAAAGAAAATATGATTAATTATATTGTCAAAACTTGCTTCAGCTATTGTCGTGTTCCTTCGAGCATAAACGAGAGAAATGGGAAGTCGAGTAAACATCACGAGTGACATCGCGTTGTTAATCGCGTGAACGTCGAGTGAACTTAGGAAAGATGGGCGGTATTTAAGGTACATACTCTTGCATCGTTTCTTCCCCCCTATCCTTTACTTACTTCTAGTTTCTAGTTTCGGTATTAATAAAATTTAATAACGTCGTTAATACTGTCAAGAGAGTAACAATGATCGAATTAAACGCTACCAAATGACTACTACCTATTTCTTTGCTAGTTTAAGTTAAATCCTTCCTAAATCGTTGGAACTTTTGTAGTTCTGTAGCGAGATTCATCTTCGAATATTCGAATTTTCATAAAACAAGGAATTTTCTTTAGGCGAATTGGCAAGTTGATTTTTGGCGCGAAAAGGGATCGCGTTTATCGGATCATAGTTTTATCGTTACGTTCGGTCTTTTAATTCAAACAATTCTCGTTTTCAGAATAAATTTGGACAAAAGCCATGGGTTGGTATTCTTAAAAAGTATCCCCGAATCTCTTAGGACGACTCATAGTTCATCAACGGATATAGGTCGACGCGTGCTCGGAATTCGATTTTCCTTGGTTTATTTCTTTGTAATTTCAATGAAAAAAGAAAAAAAAATGCGTCTTTCTATTTATAAAAATATGTATGCGCGTTTGTACATCGATTCTAATAGGGAATATTACAAATGTCGATTGTACTTGGACGGAAGATCCATCATGATGATCTTTCTTAAGGAATAGGAAAAGAGTAAAATAAATAGAAACGTATTAGGGCGATCTTGTAGAACGATATAGTCGTTGAATAATTCATTTCTTATTCGCGCTTCGTAGATCATTCATAGGAACGTGTGGATTTTATGAACTTGTGAAACTTTTTAAACGTATTGAAATCACCATCGGGAATGGTCGAGAGACTTTTCAATTATGAATTTTACAGGGATCTCCGAAGTATCTAACTAGTTATCAACATTGTATTAAGTTAGACAAAGTTTTCACGCGCGTATACCCATGCCGGACAGCAATATTCTTTTCCCTTTCTTTTCTCAAGCTCGTTCTTTATTTTTTTTTTATAGAAAAAAAAAAGAAAGAAACTTTTGAAGAATACTCGCAAACCACCGCGTTATAACGTTCCTTATAACAACGAACTTGTTTCTATTATATTTTTTCTATATTATTGTTTATCAAAAAAAAAAAATGTCTATCCTTAGTGTTCCATCGTAGATTTTAGAGATGAAAATATTTTCCTCGCGAGGATTATCGCTTCAACGTTTTTCGCCGAATGTTATCGTAAGTCAGAAACAGTTCGCGAGGAAAAGAACGCGTCGAAAAACCTCGGTCGTTCATATGTATAGGAAGGGAGGGAAATGGGTAGTATAGTTCCTTTTCAACGATCCCAGTGCGATTACGTGTACGAAGCAACGCTCTAATGGACCTAATGTATCTTACTCTGTACGGTTGTTCTTCTGCAAATGCATATTCCACTCGTACATACTGTAAACTGCTTTTTTTTCTTACCAAGTCGACTAATTTCCAAGCTAGGAAATATCTATGATCTTTTTGTTTATTCAGAAAATAAGAAGCCCTCTCGAGCGAGTAATGAAATTTTGTTTTTAACGTTATCAATCAATTAAAAGTGGTAGGATGGTGCGATAGTGCATAAAAAAGTGCATAAAAAAGTGCGTAGAAAAGCTCGTAGAAAAGCTCGTAGAAAAGCTCGTAGGAAAAACGCGTATCGCATCAACTTTTACATACTTTCTCTTTTCCTTTCAAATGCTTCCTGCTTTTTGCTCCTGGCGAGATACTTGCGTTACTAGAAAGTGGATAAAGGGTGACTCCACGGGGAACGTATTTTCCTTTCACCTTCTCCTCTACGAATTTTTATATTTTTTTCCTTGTTCTCTCGTTACATCGCCGTGGAAGCCATCGAGGACCCCCACCCCCCAAAAAAACTTTAGATCGTTCTTCCAGTGTATTATTATTTTCCGGTCTATCTCCTTCT